ATTTTTATGTGTTTATTGGTCATTTATGTATCTTCTTTGGATAAATGTCTATTCAGATCCTTTGCCCATTTAAAAAGTTGGTTTTTTAAAATTATTGAATTGTAAGCGTTCTTTATATATTCTGCATACAAGTATCTTATCAGATATTTTATTTGCAAATATTTTCACTCCAAAGACCACATATTGTAAGATTCCATTTATATGAAATTTCCAGAATAAGCAAATCGATAGGGATAAAATTGTGATTGCCTAGGAATGGGACTAGGAGGAATGGGGGGGTGACTGCTATGGGGTTTCTTTTTGGAGTAATGAAAATGTTCTAAAATTGATTGTGGTGATGGTTACACAACTCTGTGAATATACTAAAAACCACTGAATTCTATGGTTTACGTGGTCGAATTACATGGTATGTGAACTGTATCTCAATAAAGCTTATAAATATACATTTAAATTTAAACTGCACTGGACATCTACCCAAAGGAACAAAAGACATTCTATGAAAAAGACATCTGCACTCGAATATTTATAGCAGCACAATTCACAATTGCAAAGATGTGGAAACAACCCAAGTGCCCATCAATACATAAGTGGATTAATAAAATGTGGTATATGTATACCATGGAGTACTACTCAGCTACAAGAAACAATGGTGATCTAGCGCCTCTTGTATTATCCTGGATAGAGCCGGAGCCCATCCTACTAAGTGAAGTATCCTAAGAATGGAAAAACAAGCACCACATGTACTCACCATCAAATTGGTATTAGCTGATCAACACTTAAGTGCACATATAGTAATAACATTCATCTGGTGTTGGGCAGATGGGAGGGGGAGGTGGGGATGGGTATATCCACACCTAATGGGTGCAGTGCGCACCGTCTGGGGGATGGACACGCTTGAAGCTCTGACTTGGGTGGGGCAAAGGCAATATATGTAACCTAAACATTTGTACCCCCATAATATGCTAAAATAAAAAAATTAAAAATTAAAAAAATAAACTGCACTCATACACCTTTTCACATAACTCTATTAATTATTCTACAAAATAATTATTTTTAATGATTGTACAATAGTTCATCATAATGATGTGGCAATTAATTTCACCACTTTTCTATTGCTATTTAGTTTTATTTCAAATTTTCTGCTCTTAAAATAAATTGATGATAAATAGTTGTACAGATTTCTAATTATTTCACTAAATATATTCCTAAAATGGAGTAGTTACCAGATAAAATTGTATTTTATGGTTTTTATACATGTTCCCAAATTGCACTCAAAAAATTATCTCACATTAGCAGTGTATGAGAACATCTGTTTCAACATGTTCTTGCCAACACTAGGTACTTTAAATTGTAAAAATTGGCTGATTTAATAGAAAAAAAATTAGCATTAAATATTTTACGTTATTTTAATTTGTATTTCTTTACAGTGAAGTTGAAAAATTTTTATCTTTATTTTTCATTTTAATTTTTATCTGGTTGATTGTTCACATCCTCTGCCCATTTTCTAACTGTTGTGTTTTTCTTTTGTTTACTGATTTGCAAGAGCTTTGTAAATTAAGGATATTAAATTTTGCATGTTGTATATTTATTTGCCAAGTTTGTCTTTTTATTTTGAAGAAAATATCATCTAGAATCAGTGCATTGTTTTGGGTAAAAGTTATGGCAATACATTTTTGTGTGCAAAAATTTGAGACAAAATGAAAAAATGTTAGCATTTATTAATTCTAAGTTGTAAATACATGGTATTCACTTTATCCTATTTCCTTTTTTTAATTTAAAAAACTTTTCAAAAGAAAATAAAGGAAAATAAGGATAAAATATCTAATAATTTGGACATACATCACATTCATCCATTCTACTGCTAGACATTCAGGTTGTTTTCAGTTTGGAGCTTTTACAAATATCACTGTAGTAATTATCTACATATATTTTTAAAAATTCTTCATATCTTGATAAGTTTTAAAATGCTTCTCCCTTTTTTGCTGGATTGAGCTGGCTGCTTCCTCTTATTGTGGAGAGGACTCACTTCATCCTGGCTTTTGATCTTTTCACATGTGTAGATCATATTTCTCTAAGATCTTCCACCTAGATACTTAAGTCTTAAAGCCTTGGCCTTTTTTTACAGTTCAGCTCTTTAATTTTTTCCCCTCCTTCTCAATAACATGAGCATGGATTCAGCATGTCCTCAAAGCCTGCCTTGCTCTGAAGCATCTGATTCTAGGGACTCTTCATCAATGCCTGTGATTTATGGGCCTGAAGAAAATTATCCACCCTTGCAAATGTCTTCTGCTGAGTTGCCCCACACAAAGACTGGAGAGCCCCGATCCTTCCACCAGTCCCGAAGTAAAACTACCCACTTCTGTAGAGAAGAGTGTAGTGAAGAAGAAAGATAAGGTCCAGGTCAAGAAACAGAAGAGCGGAACTGTGTTCTCTCTGACCCAGTTGTGTGTACACGATGATAGATTTCAGAGACAAAAATATCTCAGCCTCCAGAAGATACAAGAACTTGCCAATATTCTGAACCTTAGCTACGAACAGGTTAAGACCTGGCTGCAGAACCAGAACAAGAAATCTAACTGGAGTCTAATCAAAGAAGTTCCAGTAATCTTAGGCTGCTACGGACAACGTGATGTCTCTGGATATAGATAAGTAGATATAATACTGGTTTGGATTATCTTTAATATTTAGAATCTAACCACAAGAATAGGAAGTTAAAAGTACAAAGATATGTCATGAAAGATTATTCCCATTTTCTGGGATTGGGAGGCTTCATTTCTTAAAAACCTCAATTGTTCAGGTGAAGTGTTAAGCTATAATGCACTTCATTGATTTCCTCTACCTCTTTTGGTTCTGTGTTTTACTACAACCTCTAATTTGTTCATTACTCTAATATTTGTAGACAGATGTTTCATATTTGGCTGCATCATGGTGATATCAGTACCAGTATGGCTGGTTTTAGTACAAATGAATAAAATATCCATTTTACCAAAAAGAAAAGCTTCTCCCACTCTTACCTTCTGTGTTTCCAAACACTTTTCTGTTATTATTTAAACATGACTTTGTTGCTCCCACAAAACTCATCAGTTTATTAATTTATGTGGACAGAGTGCCCTGGAAAAGGCATTGCTTAAAGTCAATTTTGCTTACCTCAGAAAGCATATAAAAGTGTATTTCATAGTTCTAATAATCACTCATGATGCCCTAAAAAATAGTAACATGGTCATATAAATTTGGGAAATAACTTTTTCCACTTTTGGGGATTCACAAAGTTCCTTAGCATACTAAAAGTCCTGATAAGTACTGCACTAAAGACAAAGTTCCATGATATGCACAAAAGAAAGAATCCAATAGTCAAATAAGTTTAGGGGGCTACTACAGACTCCTTTTTTTTTTTGTGAGATAGGTTCTCTCTCTGCTGCCCAGGCTAGAGTATAGTGGTGTCATCATAGCTCACTGCAACCTCAAACTCCTGGGCTCAAGTGATTCTCCTGCCTTAGCCTCCCAAGTAGCTGGGACTACAGGTGCAAGCCACCATGCTCAGCTAATTTTTTCTATTTTTAGTAGAGACGCGGTCTTGCTCTTGTTCAGGCTGGTCTCAAACTCCTGAGCTCAAGTGATCCTCCTGCCTCGGCCTCCCTGAGTGCTAGGATTACAGGCGTGAGCCACTGTGCCTGGCCTACAGTTTCCTTTTGATGAGTTACAAAACTTAATAGCATAGTAAAGGCCCTGAGAATTCCCACACTAAAGACAACTCTGTAATTTTGCTTATATAGGGTTTTATAAATTTATTTGCCAGAGAACTTTTTTTCCCTTAAACATTTGACATGTCAAAAGTACTAGTGTTCTATAAGAATACCCTTAATAAAATGCTAAAATAAGAAGATTAGAGAGATGAGCACCATGGCTAACTGAAATCTAGTTACTACTACCATACAGGTTGTCTTACCTAAACATCCAGCAATTATTTCATCAGGGCTTTGGATAAGAAAACAGACTTAATTCTTCCTTCTTTTTAATCGTTGATTATAAGTGTAGGTTTTTAAATGTACTGCCATAATGGAAATAGCACGCTTTGAGGTCAGACAGACCTGGGTTACAATCTTAGGTTAGCCACTTACTAGTTAAACCTCTCTGCACTTCAGTTTTCTCATAAGTAAAATGGGAATAATAACATTCATCTCACAAAGTTGATGTGAGGATTAAATAAGATAACCTATGTCAAGCGAAGTGGCTGGCATATACAAGGTCTTATACAGTATCTATACTTGTACACAGTAGAAATTCTGTAAGGGAAATAACTGAAGACCTGAGAACCACAGACTGATAGGCTTCTAAATAACTGCTAGCTTTTTCGTGGGAATAGAATGGAAAGTCTTATCAGAGCAGAGCTTTGAGTTCCATGGTATTTCTGTTACTAAAATCCTCCTTGTAATACTGAATGACACTGGGTTTATTTACCTTTGAGTTTTGCAAAGAGAAGGTTGTTTAGCTTTTTGCTAGGCCAAAGAGAATCCCATCTGTAAAGCTGTCTGCCACTGATTAACAAATTAGTACCATTTTCGGAGGGTTGGAATGTAGGGATGGTGCTTTTTGCCTGTTAGTGGGTAACAGTAGGTTATTAACTGACATAATGGAGTCAGGCAAAAAGAACCTATTTGTAATCTATACCATTTCAGAGAACTGGAATACACCAGGTCAAGGGTTATAATTCACAGTATGAAAGTAAATAACCTGAATGTGATGTTTGGCTGTTTCTGGATCCCCTGGGGTCTTTTAGCATGAGTGACATAAATGTGAGTTTGCAGGGAATAGGGTGTCTTTTTCAGTACACTGCACAGGGAAATTATGTATAGAATTTCTGCTTATGTGTGCAATATAAGAGAGAAGAGTTTAATATCTTGTTCACCAGGATGAGAACTTACTCCTTTTCTAGTTCTGCTCCCAAGGCTGCTTCTTGGCAGTTCAGGTGGCACCGTATGTGTCTCCCTCAGAATACTAACCTGTCTGAGAGATGCAGGAAATGTGAAAACTGCTATGTTTCCGTTTCCACAGCAAGAGATGATGAGCCTTCTGGATAATCTGTAAGGTTAAAAAGTGAAGATGATCAAATGCCCCGGTGCTTTATATGGGTAGGTGTTCATTCATTGGTATTTTTCCTTTCTGTCCGATCACTGGAAGCAGCAGACATCTGCAAATCTCTGAAGACTGGTGTGTTACACAGAAGCATTTGTAGCCAGTCCAGACATTCACATTCCAAGAGTAGTCAGCCTGATGCACTATGAATTATGATTATTTTATTTATCAGCACTATCTGATCTATAATACCGGCTGGTATGTGACTTAAATAGCTGTGATAATATTAATAGCTTGAGACTATCTGACTTTAATGGAATGTTTTGGGTCTTGCTACTTGCAAAATTACCCTGTCTTCCTGATTCCACTGGACATAATTGAGATAGCTATTACAGTACTTTAGGTGTTTGTGTGTTTCTAAGAAGGAATGAGTTATCCAGAAAATAAGAGGCTTTAGGATTAACAAGTGACATTATTTTATTTATTTATTTTTTTGAGACAGAGTCTCACTCTGTTGCCCTGGCTAGAGTGAGTGCCATGGTGTCAGCCTAGCTCACAGCAACCTCAAACTCCTGGGCTCAAGTGATCCTTCTGCCTCAGCCTCCCCAGCAGCTGGGACTACAGGCATGCGCCACCATGCCTGGCTAATTTTTTCTATATATTTTTAGTTGGCCGATTAATTTCTTTCTAATTTTAGTAGAGGCGGGGTCTTGCTCTTGCTCAGGCTGGTCTCGAACTCCTGAGCTCAGACAATCCGCCCACCTCGGCCTCCCAGAGAGCTAGGATTACAGGCGTGAGCCACTGCGCCTGGCCAACAAGCAATATTATTTATGGTACAAATGTTTTTGTTTCTGACCTCCAGCCTTTTGGGAGAACAAAGTACACGCTGAATCAGCTTGCTTAATGTACAGATAATCATTTTTTTCATACTCACAGCATAATAACATAATAATCTACTTGGCACTTTGAGATAAAAAAGTTGACAGTGGTCATCCCCTACAGTGTCTGCTTAGTACATTTTCTTTTATGAAATTAATGTGCCATTCAGGGGGCTTCAATAAGTGTGAGCTCTAGATTCCTGAAGACAGAGGCTAGGCAGCCAGGGTGGATTACCCTTGCCATAGCAGGCTGGCAAACTCTCGTGCCACTGAGTTAACCAGGCAGATTCCAGACACAAGACTTTCTTCCAGGAAAAGTGGAAAAGTAAAGACTTTCTTCCAGGAAAGGTGGAAAAGTAAAAGTGGCTCTAGGCCAGGCGCGGTGGCTCATGCCTATAATCCTAGCACTCTCGGAGGCCGAGGCGGGAGGATCACTCAAGGTCAGGAGTTTGAGACCAGCCTGAACAAGAGCGAGACCCCGTCTCTACTAAAAATAGAAAGAAATTAGCTAGACAACTAAAAATATATATAGAAAAAATTAGCCGGGCATGGTGGCGCATGCCTATAGTCCCAGCGACTCGGGAGGCTGAGGCGGGAGGATCGCTTGAGCCCAGGAGTTTGAGGTTGCTGTGAGCTAGGCTGATGCCATGGCACTCTAGCCTGGGCAACAGAGTGAGACTCTGTCTCAAAAAAAAAAAATGTGGCTCTGAGAATTCTGTCTTGTGTTTGTCTAACAAAGAGAAAAAGAGACAGCAAGTGCTTAAGCATACATCTCAAACCACCTATCCAACCATTTCTACCAAGAAGGCAATTGACAAAGAGTAAAAGACAATTCTGGAAGTGCAATGAACTTCCTTGCCTTGCTGCTAGAGAGAAGTGATGCTAATTTGCTCAGTATCCACTCCTTGCTGATCATGGGCTGTCTCAGAATTTTGTAGGTGTGGTTTGGCAATGAGTCTTTCCAGAAGTTGGCTTTTAGTATTCTGCTAGGTGGGTTTCTTTTACTTTTTTCTACTGCAACTTGCACTCTTATTTGGCACAGAACACTTATTCCAAGAAATTATTTGAATTAAAATCATGTACTTGCAGACATTGGGGCCTGAGCTGAAAAACCTGATTATCAACTCCCTTCAGGGTTGCACTCCTAGCGTTAGATTAAGCTAGATAGCTCACCTCGTGAGGACTAAACTGAAAAATGCAGATACCTCAAGAAATCAGACTACGCATAATAGAAGACAAACACAGAATTCAGGAAGTCACTTCACCTTCTCCTTCTACCATCTGCCCCTATGTTGCTTCCCGCAACCCTTCCTGTTCCTGCTGCCTATGCAGTAGTAATTTCACCATTATTCAACAGATGTCTACTTGAACCAAGAATAATGTCATTTTAGTTTTAGTGTATGCTGGTGACGCTCTTGTTCTCTTCCTGTCTTGTCCTAGATCTTCTCCTTTCCTTTAAAGTTCTAGGTTCCCACATAAACCCTTGATACTATGTGAAGTGACTGTGGCAGTATATGTATACTTCTTTCTAGCCATTGGTTCTCAGAGATTGGGAAGAATAGGAAAAGGACACAGTGAAGTCTGGAAGAACTTAGGTTGAGTTGTGACTGCTTTATGACCTTACATAAGTCACATTGCCTCCCCAGCCTCGGCTTTTTCATCTGTAAAATAGGAGCAATACTCTCTCATTCACAGTATTTCTGGGATTCTCTCCTCCAAACTATGAGTATTCTCTAATGTTCTATCCTTGACCCTCTGAGTTTCTATTTCACCATTCATTCCCTTGTCCACATGGATGTATGTCAACACTGCTTAGGTGATTACATTTTATCTCCTTTCCTTAGTTTTATTCTTTCCTTGATTATTTCCTTCACCTCTATGGATTTAACTGCCATCTCTATACAAATGACTTCTAGTTCTCTCTAGACAGTGGAATTATTTCCAGTTATTTAAAATGTCTTTTGTTTTTTATCCTTCCTCTCCACTTCTAGCGTTACCACCACTCATGAAGCCATTGTGACACATGCCCAGCTTTTTGCTACTCTTTCCAGTTCTTGTCTCTCCAAATTCCAATCCATCCTGCATACCAGTACATGAATAGTCTTTCTAAAATTTACCTTGCATTATGTTAATATATCACTCAGGATCATAAAATTAATAGTTATTTTCTATTATACCAAGTTTACAAAGCCCTGTACCATCTGGTTATATTTTACTTGTCTAAGACTATGGCCCACAACCCACAATGCCTACCTGGCACTTCAAAATGGATGGCTTCCTCAGTGTTCTTACCACATTCATGTTGAACCTCTTGCCTGGAATGCTATTTCCTTTTTCCTAGCATCTCTCTTGGTGTTATCCATCCTAATAACATCTAGCTTAAGTCCTGCCTCTCCCTCAAAACTCTCACCAGTATAGCCCATACACTTTCCCCCTTTATTGATATACTCAGTATTTAAGCATCACTAACAATCACATACCTAACACATGTACCACATAGTGCCTAGCACAGGGCTAAGCCTACATTAGGTATGTAATCACTAGCATCATTTTATGGCAATGAGCATATCAAGTATCATGTTAGACTTATGTGCTTTTCTTATCTTTTCCTGAAATTGCAAATTCCTTGAGGGCAGAGGTCACCTTGTATTTAACTTTATATCCCTCCACAGTACCTTGTTTGAAGTGTACCCTTAGGAAATGCTTTCCGAATTGAACCGAATGATTAGAGACTTGCATTATTTCAGGAACACATACCGATTTAGAGCTTAGGGTTGGACAATGTAGGTAAAGCAGTAAAATAAACATTCATGGTATTACTGAATGAGGTCAGTTTTCCAGGAGCTGAGCATATGGACACTCCCTCCCTTCTTATCTAGAAACATGGGGGATTAGATGATGAGGGAATTCCCATTAAAAAAGAAATAAATAGAAACACAGGGGAGAAGTCATTTGGAAAACTCCAAGCTACCCAAAGGAGTAGCCTTTCCCTAGCCCAGTGCACTGTGTTTGATGCTTTCAGGGATGAAACCTAGGATTCCTACTCTGAAGCAAAGGCAAATGACAAGTATGAGAATAGGTTGTTTATAGGCCAGTGACCAAAATACTAGGTAGAAGTGGTAAGAGGGAGCAACTGGGTATATACAGGGAGAACACATCAAGAAAGAAATTCAGTTCTGGAATGTGGAAGGTATATTAATAATGTAAGTTTACATTGGTCTCTAGTTTGTAATAGCATTACTTCTGAAAAAAGAAAGGAACATTTGGAAAAAGATATCAGGTTGTGGTTATTCAGCTTGACATCTGACCCCTAAGTGTCAGACGGTATTATAAAATATCACACCTTAGAGATGAAGATAGCTTGGAGATCATGGAATTGAAACTGAGGTCCAGAGAAAAGGGACTTTCCAAAACTCACACATGGAACCTAGTGGCAGAACTGGGAAATGTTTCCCATGCCAGAGCTCTACCCATTTCCCCATCCTTCTATTTTTGGTGATAGAGGCACAGGAGCTGAGATAATTTGCTTTCAAATGGACCTTAAAAAGGTCTATAAATTGAAAAGTAAACAGGAGCAAAGGAGAGATACTGGGTGGTATAGTGGCTAATGGTTTGGACTTTGGAGTTAGGATCTGTCACTTACCAGCCGTGCAACTTTGGGTTTCTCTGGGCTTAGTTTCCTCAGCTATAAAATGGGATTATTTAATATTTATGACCCACAAAGTGCTTATGACTATTAAATGTTACAAAGCCTGTAAATCACCTCATGCATAATAGGCATCCAACAAATGTTAGTTGCACCCTTTGAATCAATCTAACAATCATTTTCTATATGCAGCCTTATTTTGCTAGGGTTGCAGAGAAAACTGAAATGAAGGTAATGAGGTCTTTGATTTCAATGAGTTTCCATCTAGTCACCTACTACCCAGAGTCGTTACTGGAGCCAGGCTACTTTCTTCATGCCCCCCTTACTTAGCGTGTGGTCTTGTGCATTACAACCTATGACTTTGCCGTACCTTCTGCCTCTTCATTTCTTGCCACCAATCCAGATGCTATCTAATTTTTAAGGCCCAAATTCTACCTCCTCTGTGAAGTCTTTTCTGACCAGCCCAGCCCATAGGAAATCAC